ATATATATATATATATATGTACACAAGTGTATAGGTGAAGGGAAAGCGCCTGTCTTATACTGTATGTGTGATGCACTATATCCGCACCAAACGAGAGCATATAGGAGAGATGGGTTGAAGGGGAAAGAGAGAGAGAGAGAGAGGAGTAAAAAAATAAGACGCATAGCCAGAGTGTATATACCTACGTCGAATCGGGGCCAGGGGAAACCGCGTGCGGGAGGGCCTTGCTCTTTTGGAGACCGGGAGGGGAGAGAAGATAGATAAAAAGAGAAGATAAAGTATTTTATACACGTGTGTGCATATATATTTATACATATATACATACACGAAAGAATCGCAGCGCAGGCCTGCAGCCGCTGCGTGCCACGTTGCTCTTGTGGCTTTTTTTGGTGCAAGTAATATATATATATATATATATATATATATATATATATATATATGTATAGGTACTCCGACGCGCAGATACACACTCCATGTACCCAAGTGCTTATGCACCGATCATCGGGAGAGCAAGTACGGGAGACAAGACGGAGCATAATACGTGAGTATAGGTATAAGGGGATAAGGAGAAGAAGAAGAAAAAAAGAAGGAAAGAGAGGCGCGGCGAGCGCCGGAGACAACGATGACGACGTCCACTACGCCAAGAAGGAGGAGGAGGAGAGCTGTTGTTGCTGGACAAGAGCGAGCCGAGCCTCTGGCGCGCCATCCTGAGCTAGTTGCTGACGCGGCGCGCTCGCGGTACGTCCGCCTGCGCCGATGTTCCCGCACACCTACCCTACCGGAGAAAAACACCAAAAGTGCCAGTGCTCTCTCGGGTCGACCATGGACTATTCCACCGCCGTGGCTATCCGTAATCGTACAGTCGAATACGTGCCAGCTCCCTGATACTCTTCACGGGCTGTCCATAGATAGTGCGCTTACACCTGTTGTCAGTGCGAAAACAAAGCCCAAAGTGCTCATCATCGTTTCATGGGGGCAAAAAATCGGCAAGGAGTATCGGTGCCGACACGTGGTTCCTCGTCGTCCCGAGGTGGATGAGCGACCGTCCATTGAGAACCCCTGGCGAGCAACAAGTGTAGCACCTATGCGTATTTATACGTATAGAGGTATATACCACTCGCGCCCAACAGCACATACATAACATAGGGTACGTAATAAATATGCTCTCTCGTGGATCCCCCTCTCTTTCCGATCTTCCGCGGCTCGGTTTGGAAACCAAGTCCTCGCGTCGTGCGGAATCGTCGTCCGGCCATGGGGTAACTCTGGCTAACGGGTCGCCGATTTAAATCTCCATGGCGGGTTATCTCTCCCCGGGTGTCGCGATCGTACAGGAATGTCGAGGGTCGCTACGGGGGGGGGGGTTAATTCGCACTTGTTGGGATATTATCGTAATGGTCCGACAGTCCGAGAAAAGTGAGGATCGAGGTGCAGTGACGGAGCAAATGGAAAAGTGGTGTAAAGCGGAGAAAGCGCGCGATAACGACTTGGTATATCCGCTCCTTGAGGTTGGACACTCCCGGGGAAGACTTTCTCCGTTGTAAGCGCGTCCCGGTGGATCTTGTATCGGCCCGTGTAAACCGATCTCCTCGGCGTTGGATGCTCGTTCCGCGCGAGTCGCGCCGCACTTTCGTTTTTTTCGCGCGTACACGGGATACGAGCGAGAGAAATCGGCGCGAGGGAAAACCACTGCAAGAGCTGCTGCTCGCGGGGATTCGAGGCGTGGAGTAGTTAGAGGCACATGCATACCTCCGGATGCTGCCGATACTTTGATTTGCGTGACGGAGCTCACAGGGAGTTTATATTAGCGTTTCAACGGAGCGCGGCCGATTGTTACAGGGTACGTAAATTTTTTCTTGCATCTGTTTCACGTACACGTATAGGGAGTGTATTGATCTTCTTACACCAAAATGATACTTATGTAGCGCGCGTCAGCCGATTTTTGTCTCGATTTGTGTGCCGACGTAAACATCTATTTTACTTTATATTAAATCCTACAGGGCATTCTGTACAAATCTATGACAGACCCATTTCGCACTCTGCATAGATTTCGTTTGAAAAAAAAAATTATTTAGTTTACTACACATGGTCGAACAATCAAAGAACCGCCGATTTTATTGCTTGTAAAAACGTGGACCTCAACATACTTGGATTTACAGTGTTGCTGCAAATCAATATTTCATCATAACTGAACCAGTTCAACTACATAAAACTAATAAGAACAGAAGAAAATGATTGCGAGAATGTTGTAGAATTTAAAGAATGGCTTTACTAATTATTCATGTAAATTGAAACCGGGCCGACACTCGTTTATTAACAGTTAATGGACAAATGACTTGACGTGGACATTTATTCGTAAGTAATGCACCTACGTTTATTTAAATACGATTTAAAAAACTTTTCAAATTCGTCAGTCGCTTATAAACGATTTGTTTTCAATAAAATGAATTTAAGCAAAATATAAAAATAACGATTTCTTTTAGCAGATATCTATTATGGTTTTAAGTAGATATGCGTTGTACTGATCATAACTGTTGTATGCATATATGCACTTATTCACTAAAATTTTATTTTCACAGTTACGAAACAACCCAAACGCAATCATTTTCAGATTTTCACGATAATTTAATGTTCATGAGAATTAAATATAAACTGTAAATGCACGATGCCTTCGGTAAATGTTCATTCCAACAAAGTCCCTTATCGAAAACACGATTCATTCGACACAAATCGTTTTTCCCACCATCATATTTTAACGTTACGTCGCAGACAACAGGAATCCAACCGCCACTAGCGATTTACTCTACTTTTTCGTGCACAGCGGATATATCCAGTCGCGTCAATTTTCGCGTGGCCGGCAGCGTTTCTTATCGCCCCCGATCTCTTAATTACCCGCGAGTAAACGCGAAGCTGGCCTGCAATTCCGCGAACCGCACGTCTGAAATACCACGAGTGAAACGAAAACAAAAAACAAAAAAAAAATATGCTTCGTCGAATAGCAAAACCACTACGAAAATACCTCTGCCATTCTTCCAGCGTCGATTCCCACGACGATCTCCCAAAGCACCGCTCGAAGCCTCCCGAAAGCAACGATGGGCACAACGAGTCTCTGCTGCGCGGAGACCCTCAAGCGCCTCGGCCGCCGGCGCAACCAGGTGCGGCCCACGACCCAACCAGCCGACCTGGCGGGCCGGGAGTTCTTCGAGGTGACCCCCCGGCGCGTCCTCCACGTCCTGCGCCCGGAGCCCAAGAGCGAGCGCTTCTACGAGCCACCGGCGGCCGACCGGCCCGAGTCCATAAACGACAACTTCTTCGCGCGCTGGGCTCGCCGGCCGCACCCCTCGGGGGACTGCCGGTGCTCGTTCAGGAACAGCAGCAGGCGGAGCACGCGCGGCGAGGCGGCCATCTCGCGGGAACTGCAGAGGATCCGGGCGAGCTTGTGCGAGGCAGAGGAACGCGGTCGGGGGCTGGAGGAGGTCGAGGAGGGCCTGGCGGTCGACCTGAGCCAACTGGGGGAAGCCGAGGTGGTGCCGGGGTTGGAACCTACGGACGAGGAGGCGAGGCAGAGGGTCGTCAGGGGCCTGAACAGGTACATCAGCGATCTACTGGACGAGATTCTGGATGACACCATAAGGGCTATAGCCGAGGCTCCGGAGGATCCCTTTGGGCGTCGGGCGACGACTTTCGACATCAAGTTCTCGTTCCATAGTAACGAGGACGGGGACGAGGCTGGGAAGAGTGGGGCGGGGGTTGGCGAGGAGAAGGGTTACGTGAACCAGGGCTTCGTGGGCACGGTTGGGGATCCTGACACTCTGGATTTCCATCTTCGTCGGGATCGGGCTTTGGAGAGGGTCGACTGCACGGATTCGGGTATCAACAGCGTGGAAACTGTGGAGCTACAGGCAGAGCAGGAGCAGAACTTGGAGCAGTCGCTGATGGATATTATCGACGCGAAGCTCGGGGGATCCTCGATCGGGAAGTCCCTGGAGAACCTTGGGATGGAGATGGACTCCACGGGCGACTGTGCGGAGGCGGTGAGTTTGCTGAGTTTTTTTTAGAGGGTATTGTGTTCGTGAAAAGAAATTTTGAAATAAGTATCAGATCCCTCAACTTTCATATAGTGTATAAGAGTAATCATGTTGACCTTTTGCTATTTTCATTTTAATATTAAGTTCACTCGCTAAGAGAATTAACGTCAATATATTGATGATACTCTGAACAGAGATGAATTAGTGTATGAAAAACCTTTGATTCAAATTTCAAGTCCCTTTACGGCTTATAAAGTGAGATATTGATAATTTTACGTTAACGTGCAGTACTGTTCTGATACATAACCTGCAATATCTGGATACAACGTCGAGATTTAATTGGAAATTTTTTTGAAAATAGATAAAAACTTGGTGATTACGTAGCTATAGTCTCATCTTCACTCGTAGCTTATGGAATGAGCAATAAATTAGTGAATAAAATAATTCTCCTTTGACAGCTACCGTTAGTACGTCGCGTTATGTATTATATAGTCATCCAGGTTACAACAAAGCCGATCTTATGCGTCAAAAAGATTGGGTACGAGTGAACTCCTTTAACGAGATTTATACAGTAGAAAAAAAAATTACTGTTCTAGCACTGAAAACTGGTGATATTCGGTAGTCTATAGACTTTTTACATACTTAACTTCCACTGTCAGAAACAAAAAGATTTATTCTCACTACAGTAACTTTTACATGTAGATCATAGGAATTAGGTTCCAATCTGTTTGGATTCGTGTTTGACTTGTTGAGGTTTTAAATTGCGCGACATCCAGGCTGCTATTGTACGATTGAGGGAATAAGTAAATATAGTTTGTTGTTAGTATTGTCATTGGAACAAAATTCTCCCCCCTTAGCGGCGGCTAGATCGCGGCTTCGACGGCACTTACGAGGCGTTGCTGGCTCTCTCACCTTTGAGACTTCGACCTGTTAACATCGCTTGAGTAAATTGAGATCTTTGTATAAGTCAACTAATTGCTCGTTTTTTCGATGTCGTTTTTCTAAATTCTAATCGTCTTGGTTGGCTTCTATATGGTCACAGGTATTTTGTATCGACTCTTATTTTTGTTCGTTCTCGCTCGCTTTACATAAGACAGAACTTATTCGTTTTTACTTTTCACGTTTATCTATTGTTCATTAAATCTAAATTATATTCAAATTGCTCTGTAAATATTGTAAATAGCCGTTGATTCAATAAATATTATTAACACCAAAACAATTCGCTTCCACTGCTGATTTCGTTTGGTTATTTAATTTATTAGTTTAGTGCTACTTCTCAATGACCTTTTTTTTGTCAATAAAAAATTGGTCGAGATGCCACTAACACAATCTGTAGGAATAAGATTTAAAAAAGTAAAAAGTTGCTAGACCAGTAGAGTGAGTAAATTTTACTAATTTTTTTTTTTTATTCCATCTCGTACTCCAAAAAATAGGAAGCTTGTGGCTTCAATGATAGTCAAGTACAGAGTGTACCAAGACTAATGCGTCACATATCCGTCAAAAATCCGAATAAAATTTAAACTTTCTCGGCTTTAATATTTAATTGTAACAATCCGATCGTTAAATGGCTATTAAGAAAAAATCGTCGAAAATGAATCAACTGTCTGATACTGAGGTATGAAATATTCATGATTCATTCTTGGAGTGACGAGTTTTTGTATACGCGCTGAGAGTTCTAACGTCTAAAGGTCTCATATTCTCCAAATTATTATTTCTTTGTGATTGATCAATGGTTCATTTGAAATCTCACAAAAAATATGTTGTTACGTGATAAATCTTTATTTATCAATAATTACTAAACTTTTCAGACCAAAAACGAAGATTCCACCGTCGCCGAATCGAGTCAAGAATCAAAATTTGGGGTTGGACCAGCCGTAGAAGAGAAAACGACAGCTAAAGAGGAGAGCAAACAAGAAGCCATAGAAAAGACTCCCGAAATTACACCTCATCGGCCTCAATCGATCACTTCCTCGGAGCGCGCATCGAAATCCCTCGACGACGTGATCGAAGAGCCGATCTTCAACAGCTTGCGCCTCGAGTTCAAACCATCCAGCAGCTCTCCCAAAAACCCCATACCCAAAGTCCGTCGGAGGGTCACCTCGAGGTTCCACAAGACACTCACCATGATCCACCGCAGGCTGCTCCGGAGGTTCAACGCAAACCGTCGCAAGCGCGACACCACCACGACCACCGCTACTAACAACAATAACAACAACAGCATCAACAACAATAACAACAACAACAACAATGACTCGTTAAACAAATCCCACAAGTCCAGCCCATCGTCCTCCTTCAAACACCCGTCGAGCGCTCGAACGCAGCTCCGACCGGACGACCTACACCGGCGACGCTTCCCCGTGCCACCTCCACGCCGGCCGGACAGCACCGATGGCGAGGTCACGCTGCGCCGTCGCAACCGCAAACCAACGATCGTCTTCCTCCACGGCTTCGGCTCGTCGGCCGATGCGTTCGCGAGCCAGCTAAGTTACTTCGCCGAGCTGGGCTACCCTTGCCTGGCCCCAGACATGCTGGGCCACGGTTTCAGCTCGGCGCCGAGGCGGGCCTCCGATTACCACTTTGACAAGCTACTCGGGGATCTCGAGGCTCTACTGCTCCACCACGCGTTTAAACCCGGCAAGAAGTGCGTCATCGTTGCTCACAACTACGGGTAAGTTAATTCTGCTGGCTCACTTTTGCTCGTCGCTTACACATTGTTTCCAACCATTTCGAACGAGGTATGCCACATGCTCGGGTACAAATTGTTCTTTTGAAGTCTAAATAAACGCTCCTTAGTCGTTTCAGGGGTCTGATGAAGGTCTCGAAAATCTGCGATAGTCGCAATCGCGTTCGAAATAGACCGTCACGTTACCAGCGCATTTTTTTAATTTCCCATGGGTAACGTGACAGTCCATCTCGAACGCGATTGCGACTATCGCAGATTTTCGAGACCTAAATCAAACCCCAGTTTCGAGATGACTTCGGAATCTACTCTCAAAGTCTATTATGTACGCGCAGATGTACCCCCTTTACCGTGCACCTCCTCTTGCACTCTACAAACTTGAATCTGTACGACGGTAAAAGGGTATATTTTTGAAAAATGCCTGGCAATTCGTGATTTTTTTTGTTGAGCATCTTCCTTTTGTACGAAGGAATCTACAAAACCGTTTTTTTTTTTTTCTTTTTAACACATTTATTATATACCCTAATTTCAATGAAAAGACAACTTAACCTTGTTCTCTCATAAGAGACCGTGTTAAACTGTCAATATTTCATAATTTTTTTCTCGAAAATTTCCCCTGGTGAAAAATCTGAAAAAATTCATGTGCACTCCTTACATGCTAAAATATAACAGACATTTTTTTGGTACGTTTTTCCATTTTCAACTTTTCTCCCAAACCTCCTTAAATGGCGTTCAACAAATCTTTGCGTGGCTTCAGATGGCTTCCGAGAACTTTTGAAAGATTTGGTAACACGTAACCCGTCTTCAAATTCAAGCAACAGTCACTGGTCAACTGTCAATTTTTTTAAATCATTGCAGCTGCAGCTTCGCCACGGCTCTGTCCCAAAAATACGCGTCGAACGTACACCAGCTGGTGCTTATCGCGGGTGGAGGCCCCATACCCCTGGCACCACCCCCTCCCCGGGAAGGCCCGGGTCACTGCTGTCTCCGCTTCTTCCTGACGCCGTTTCTGGTCTGTGGGATGAGCCGCGGCTTCATGTACTCGGCACGCGGCAGACAACACCCGTACTGCGGTCCCGAAGAAGCGCCCTGGGCCTCGACGCATATGCGCCACGTGTTGCGCGGGATGTCCTGGCCAGAGGGTGACCACGTGTTTTTGCGACGAATCTGCACGCCTACGCTTTTGGTGCACGGACTGAGGGACTCTAAGGTCTCGCTCGTGCAGGAGTGCCAGATGGAACGGGTAATTATGTAACATTTAACGATTTTGTTGATTTGTGTCTAGGACATCATACGAGCTGCGTATTTGGTTTAAAATTATAATCCATGACAGCTTATTTTACCTAACTTTGAAGTAAAAGGTAGCTTAAATTATGAAAAATACTTCAGTTATGCATGTAAGGGCATGATCAATGCACCAAACTCTTAATAAAAAAAAACAAAAAACACATTTTGTGGAGCCCCTCCCAAAATAATTTCTGAAAATTCTTTTTTATATTTATTATTTTACACCACACCTAACCCTACACCACTCCGAAACTGCTACGCGGGCAGTCACGTGTCAAGCTCCGGTCTAGGCAAAGTGTAAAATTATATACACATCACAGGCGGAAGTAAAGAATGTTTCAGATCTTGTGTGCATTGTCACCCGAGACGAAGTCGAGCCCTAGGTGTGTAAATAGCTATTTAGTGATATACACTTACTGTGACCCTCCCAAACTCCAACCAGTTTTTTTTAGCTCCCTATTCAAGGTGCACCGCAACTACTAGCGCCGAAAAATCCGTACATAAGTAAATAAATGGACCACAGTTGAAACTGAAACTTTTCCCATTTTGCGTGTTTGAAAAAAAGTGGGGCAATTTAGCACCATTTTATAATGGAAAAAAGTATCATTAGGCCGTAACTGAAACTAAAACCTTCCCCACGAGTCTGATCTCGAATACACCATACAATTTAATTTACCATTTTATCACATGCATGTTTTCAAGTAAATATAGACAATAAACATAATATTACTAAAAATTAGGCTTATACATGGAAAAACATAGATTAAAATTTTAATACAAGTATAGAAAAACACCTAGAAAAGAAATAGTTTGTTATTACTCTTAATGTCTTTAGTTATTTATAATTTATTGGCCTTGACTTTAAATCTTAATCTCTATTGCGTTATGCAGCATAAAATACATAAATTTGATGCTTTGCTCATTATAGATCAAATGAGATTTAAAAAAAGTGTATGAATCACAAACCTTTCATGAGTGCTATACCTACATGAACAAGAAACAAACATTCATCAAATAAAATTATTTAATGTTTAATATTAAAGCCACTTACATAAAAACAGGAAAACAGTGAATAAGAGTTAGAGAAAACAACAAAGAGGAGTTAAAGGGGAAATATTCCGGGAAAGTTCCTTCTTTCGGTGCAGTACGGTAAAAAATACTAACAAATCGAAACATAATGACTGAGATTACAAGTTATAATATCGAAAAGTATGTGATTCTAATGAAATGACAAACACACATACAAATCAATAAAAGATACTAAAAAAAGAATTTATAGTTACGGGCAAAGATATTTGGATAGAGGCAAATCTTTGAAGACGTAAAAGTAGGAAGTTCAAATTAAAAAAACATCTGACTCAGGAGGGTCGAACCAATATTACAACCGTACAGCGGGGGTGGGGTGGCGAAGTGGGGTTAAGGGCGTGGGAAGCTCACGGCATTACCAACAGAAGGTAATACGGTTTATTTCCATGGCGCATGAATGCATAAATTGTATAAACCTAACCAAAGTTTTTATTTTTATTTCAAAAAATTATGATTTTCTCTTGAATTAGTATGGATATAGATAAAAATAAGAGTATCATATAAATTCTAAATGTTTGAAGTATCAAAACATATTTTTTTTTTGTTTTTTACAACACATAGAATGAATCAAAAACTTAATGAGAGCTCTTAACCGTTGTCGATGGCATGTATCAAACCTTCTTAAAACAAAGTTGGAAAAGGAAAGACAAAAAGAATAGAATGAGAGAAAAAGGGATATCTATGTGTAACAGTTTGACAAATACGCAAAATAGACAAGATATTGGGATTTGAACTGAGCCATCAGCGCCAAGCTCAGGCTGCTTTCGTAAGCTCGGAGAGAAGGCTATATGACGACTATCACATAAAGTAAACACTGCAGCTGCTCTTAGTTTTTTTATTCATGAAATTGTTATTAAAAAGCTAATAATCCATATTCTAATATTTCTCTATGATAATATGAGAAGCATTATTTAATCCACTCATTAGTAAACATAATGCTATAACAGAAAATATTGCATTGCTGTTTAACATTCTCCCGCATTTAATAATATTCCCCGCATCAAGAATTCTCTCTTCCTCGATAAAATTTCTGCTTGATGGGGAACAGTTTCCAAAAAAACATGTATACTTCTTTAAACTTTAGATACATGTTTTTGATTTTATAACCTATAAAAGACAAGACTACTTAAATTCCATCATACGCTACTTTAAATAAGAATAATTTCAAAAATTTCTTATAAGTATGAATACATCTACCAGAAGAATAAACATTTATAAAACTACCTAATTTAATTTAATATTTACTTTGTATAACAAATATTTGCATACACCTATCACTTCGTACTGCGCATATAGTAGTGGATAAGAGCCTCGTCCCCCAGCTTTGCATATTCTCCACGAGGATGCGTACTGCCGGAGTTAAAATCTCAATATTACTAATATATAAAGCAGAAGCGCTAAAACCGTTGTAATCGCTAACCGCGAAAACTACTGAACCGATTTTGTTGAAATTTTGCACACTGATTCATGATACTTCCTAGATGGTTTTAGTATAGTTTTCATCTTAAGAAATTTAATAACAATAGCAATAAATGAGCTCAAAGTTTTGCAAAAATACGTCAGCTTTTCACTTGAGTTCAGTAAAATCCGCTAGGTGGCGTCGACATAAAATTGAAGCTACCTGCAACATAATTAAATAAGTGTGGTTATAGTAGGCTGGAGCGTCTCCGTACTGTTGTCCATTCACCCTGATTCTCGACGAGTGCGATCAAATAAAAAAAAATTAATTCCAACCGATGCCGTCTCTGCCTCAATACCCGGAGACACATCTAGCCAGAGCACAATCTGCAAAAAATCTTCATAGCAGTTCCACCATCCCACCTGGTGCAGTTAGAGAATTTGTGGCTACAAATGTAAGCAAGGGACAACAGCTCTGAGGGGCACGGGCAGCCACAACGGCTACCTTCTTGGTCGTCGCGTCCCCAACGCGCTTACCCACACGTTCCCGTCTAACGATGAGCGGTTGGTTATCCGGGGAACGACCCGAGACGAGATATTCTTTGGTCAGCAGCGTACTTTCCTCCATCACAGTCTCCGTACATCGAGACTCCCAGGGTAAGAATCAAGCAACCGTAGCCAGCTCTTCATCATCAGGAATAAGAATAGCCTGGAAGTTTCACCACTGGCGCTTTTTAGCGCCATTATAAGTATTTGCGTTCCCTACTTAACCATCAATTTCATCGGTTCTTTTTAGGATCCACCTAAGTGTAAACTACCTTGCCAACAACTACATTTTTATTACCATTTCCGGAAGCGATTCGTCGACTAAAAGACTATATTATCTAAAGACGGGCACTATTAAACCAAGTCAGCCATTCACTAGCAGACGTCACCTGCGGAGTTGTTCTTCGCAAGGCTGGAAAACCCGGTGGACGACGACCCTATACTACCCTCTCGACTCTAAGCATTCAACCAGGAATCACTGATCCTCTCCAAGGTCTGCGTTGGGCAAACCTATAACAGCTATGAAGGAAAAAAAACTTGAGCCAACGGGACAGCCTCCACTGGACAAGTATCACTAACCAATCTCCCCATCTAAGATCACCAAAATGAACTGAATCTGCAAATAAAAAAGGTGCTTTAGACACCAACATCTTCGACGTTATACCAGGAGACGTTGGGAAAGAGCACTACAACTAGCCCCAAAGCTTCGGACTTTGTTATTTTTTCTCCCAATCAGTCTGGGTCTTCAAAAGCAAGCCAGAGAATATCACCCTGAGGTATCCAGGCAGTCACAATTGCTGTTAACTGCAGTCAAGAAAGAGTTAACTTAAAAAGCTCACCGGTCTTTTTTAGGGCCATCGGACGTCGAACTACCTTGCCAACAAATATATTAGAACTTAACAAAGTTGACAGAAAACAGCCTTTAGGGGTCACAAAAGTCGTAAGCATGCCAAAAGTCGCAAGAGGGTGAATTGGAAGAAAAACTTCAAGTGTATCTAATAAATACAATTTCACTTAGGCGTCACGAAACTGACGCAGAAAATTTATCGAGATTGAAACAGCAGCGTCAAAATCGACAACTAAAGAGTCCACTACGTGAGAGATCAGCTTTTCATTGTACCCTCACAGCAATCTCTGAAATCTTTAAAGATCCTACTTCAGATTTTTAAATAAGTAGAAAATTTATTTGTGTTTTTGTGGCAATAAAAATGTAGGGTTCAAGGTCCAGGACTTTGTTGCTCTGGTAATAAAGTTGTGAGATATGAGAAAAAAAATTTTTTTTTAACATAAATTTTTTGGGGGTTTAAAATCTTAACAGCTTTAAAAAATAACCCTTTTCGTAAATTATACGGGAGAAACTGCAAATCAACCGCTTTTTATGGCCAACGATTTTTTGTGGCATAAGGAACGCACGGTAATTTTCAGCATAATTATTTTTTTTAATTTTTACACCTTATTATTTGACCAAATAAACTATACGGATTCCGAAAAAGTATGTTTTTAATAAGAAGATTTTTGTTTTGAGATGTATCAGGAATATGTGTAAAATTTCTAACTGAAAATGTTTCACATTACATGTCAACACACTACGGTGTTTTATTTAGTAAGTCTCGGGCGAAGCCGAGACGGGGGGCTGCTAGTAGAAATTATAAGAACAATACAATTGACACCTTGACGGTCACATGGTGTTACTTCACAGATTCCGTTAAAGACTTAAACAGCACTTTATTATCCTAACTTATCAATTAAAACTTAAAAACACTTTGTAATAATTGTACATTATGCTATCAATTTTTGCACACGAACAGGTGCGAGCAGAGGGTAAAGACATACTAGAATATAATATGTTCTACTTTTCTGTACTGATTTTACAAATTCTCAAATATAATAAAGCTTCTGTTGGACTGCAGTAAACTTTAAATTAATATTATAAAAATGTAACACGTAAATGCAATTACAAAAGTAATCTCTTACATGGACTCATACTTAACCTTACTAAATGCCAAATCTACTTCTTAACGAAATCTTTACTAAAATGCTTGTATGTTAAGCACTTACTGTACAATAGACCTATTGAATGCGTTTAAAAAATAAAAGATTTTGTTATCTTCGATCAACATCAAGTTTCAAAACCATGGCGTCCCTCTGGAACGATAAAATAATGAAACAAATTTTGTAAACATTGCATGGGTTACTACGCAAAATCAACTACTTTAGATGCTCTGGATGAAAATATTTATGGAGTTAATAATCAGATTTAAACGAAATATTAGTTAATGGTAAAATAATACTGGAGAACAATAAAAGTAAAATATTTACACCGATTGAGTACTTTAAAAAAATGATATAGTACAAGTTATTATTGTTACAAAACATTGCGGCAAAATTTGGAACTTCGATACCAAATTCCATGAAAAATATGAGTACTCATCCGACACTATAGCGCCAAATCCACATTAGCGCTAGTGTCAGGCGAATCACGTCACGTATTTTGAATAGGATTTGGTATTTAAGTGCCAATTTTTTCCGCAAGGTGCACATAGTGAATATAATACCAATTTAACTTCTGAGGTTACGCAACTCTTATTATGTTTTAGAGACTTTACAGCTGTAGAATAAGAGTAATGAGAACAAAAAATTTTAATATGTTACAAAACTTATAAGAGTTTTTTCTACATTTATAATAATTTTAAAATAGCTAAAACTTTGGTTAAAAAATAAATAAATTGTAGTTTACATTGAGGTAACATTTATATCGTAATAAATAAATTATTTAATCCTATTAAACATTTTAACACATAAACACTTTCCGACAGCTGTAAATTGTATTTGACTTGCTTTTAACATTGTTTACACAACATTTTGTAAGAATTCTGCAATTTGTTTAACTACTCTAAATTTGGTTACTTTAATAGTTTCGGTTTTGCCTTTTCCAAAGAGATATAATAAACCTGGAAGTTTATTGTATTTATACCAACTGATTATTAAAAAATCGAGTGAATTATTTGCCAAATAATTTTTTTTTATTGCTTCTATTCATGCACATTGATAAGCTCAGTTTTCCAAGATCCTGATGCATTTTATCAATTAATTTTTTCCTTTGAATTGCTTCTTTCCAAGGGTATGATTTGAAAGTAGTATACGGTTTCTGTTACAGTTTCTGCCAACATTCAATTTGTTAATAATTTTTTCAAACATTATGAGATCATCAACTAGTACTTTTAACTGTTGCACCAAATATCCTAGAGTATCATAAAGTTTTAATTATTTTCGTCAGTGACAAAGTATCGCAAAAACCAAAAACCATAGCTCCAAAATGCTTTATGAAATAACACCTGCGTATTGCTGCAGACTTCAAAAAATCTCACGAACCTCCAAAAAAAAATATGAGTACCTACTGGTAAACTGTTTGTCATTCTAGAAGCAAGTCAGATTTTAAAAAGTCCATATGCAACCTGTATATTTTTGAACCATCAGTAAACCCCTCTTATGGCATTCCATTTTATTGTTTAACTTTAGTAAGAGATTTTTCTAAATCTCTTACTTGATTCAGGATCTGTTGTACTCATGTGTAATTTAGTATGTTTGGCTGGGGATAAATTTTCTTCCATAAAGATTTGTCATCGCCCATCGCCCCCCATCGGCTTTGGGGTCCAAATGAGGGCAGCACCGGTCGTGCATCTGACCTGCAAGTCTTGATGTTAGAGATTCACTAGCTATTACATGTTCATACTTTGATTTGCGTTATTCAAAATACTAGCTACGAATCTATCTATCTGACTGGCAACAATTATACAAATATATTTCAGTTTTTCAAACTAAGTAATGTGTTTATGGTCTAATACTGGAATATTCAAAAGTGATAATATACTGTTGAGATGAGTCTATCTGATAACTGTGTTTGGTGAACCTATCACAACAATGTATGATTAAATATATTGTTTAAAATATCAATATCAAAACACAAAATGTGCCCAAAAAAAAAAAATAATAGTAATACCTACTGCTGCTTTTGTATTGATATCAAAGTGCAAACTGCATTTCCAATTTTTTTGTTTCCTTTGCTACTTTGTGCCTTTTATTTAGAGGAAGCTTCCATGCATTTTTTGCATTTTACAGAAAATAACAAAGACAGTACTGTATAATTGATGTTTTAAAAATATTATCTAACAAAGAAATTGATTCTCCACATTTCCTACAACATAATCCTTTTGCAAGAGTTCTAACATAAATTTTTTTGACGTTTTTCAAATACTTTCTTGGTAACTCTTTTCCCTTTCCATAAATATCTGTTTTCAATTTCACCCATTTTTAAAAATTATATTATAACGGTAGCAGAACGCAACATTGTACTTTTAAGATTCTCGGCTCATGAAAACAGTATAGTGTCGACTTTCAAACAAAATACAAAATTAGCTCTCTCTCATACACATGCAACTTAACATCCTATGCCTTTCAATGCTACATTATCCCCCACTAAATTTAATTTAAGTTAATTGGTTTAACGAAAATTAAATAAATTATTCTAACCATACTTGTACCTATTGTACTAATTATTCCTAATAATTATATTAATTTATAAGTTACTTATACCAACGCCATAACGTTATCCAAATTTGTATATCTGTTATCGTAATCTTATGACATGACAGGGGTCTCCCGTTCTTTATAATAAATAAATAAACGTTCACTTATAACGAAAAGGTATCGTGAATTCAAAAGCTTTTTGGGAAACAACAGTGAATTATTATAAGACTGAATGTATTTTACTCAATTTTTTGACTTCATTTGTATGTACGAAAAAACTTATTAATTGGTTTACCAAAAAAATTGTACTTACAAAAAATTTGCTTCGAAACAGCCGAAAATTTATTCAACTTTATATTTTTTAACGTATCGTTTCCAGATAAAATGAATGATACAAAGCTAATAGATCTTTTTGGAAATAGACTTTTTGTGTTTGCTCTTTTCATCTAGAGTCAGCCTAACACAGTAAGAAATGAAAGGCTTTTTAAAATTTCTGAAAAAATCGTTTTGTAGCAAGTAATAATATAAAATTTATACATAAAATACTGATGTAAAACTTGCTTTGATACCATATTAAACTGTAAAAATGGTTTCCAAATAAAATCCTATAGTTTAGATTACACTTTTACAAATTCAACCTTTGGTTATGAGGATTTTTTTTTTTTTTTTTTTTTTTTTTTTTATTAGCTTATTTAACATAGTAGTTGAGTAATGTAATGTAATTCGCCCACATAAGTCCATGAATAAACTTCGATCACTTAATGCCAATGAATTCATGTAAAGCAGAAATTTATTCAATATTTTTTTTCGAGACGCAAAACATTAATTCTTTTCTTATAGATCAAAGATACGAACACTTTTAATTAAATAAAAAATTGTTATCATTTTCAGACAATAGGAAAAGCTGTACTGGAGGCGATTCCAACTGCAGGCCACGTACCAATGATCGATTGTCCGGATCAGTTGAATCACATGATCCACTGTTTCATCGACTTGTGGAAAAATAAAAAGTGGTGAGCTAGAAAGTATTCACCGAGCAGAGAAATAGATGGAAAAAAATACTCGGCGACGTTCGCTACAAAATCGATGAAACCGGTGATATGAACAAAACGAGACTCCCATTCGTGCGGACTTTATATAAATCGCATTGTGCCAAAATAGTGAAAGAGTAATACTCACTTACTCATATTTGGAAAGAATTAATTATATTCAGCGAGATACTTATAATTCTTCGAAATCGCATGGAAGATGTCGTACCAAAGATGTGATCTGTTTTGTATTTCTTTCTTTTCATTCGTTTTTTATACGTTTATTGTTAATCTCATAAACTGTTGATCCAAACGTGTTATATTGCGCACTTACTATGAATAAGTAAATAATATGATATCTGTAAAATGTTCTGGAAAAACACGAAGAAGTTTTTTGCGCGACATTGTGTGTGAGATTTAATTTTACGTATTACGTTTAGCTACAATGATTCACAATGACTACATCAGCATACGCACGAATTACAAAGTGTTGTACAAGAAAAGTCTTAGTTTTACTGTATTTTGTATGCATGCATAAAATTACACTTTATGCAACATCCATGTCTGAATTACTGCAATCATGCATCACTTCTGCAACCCATAAATTTCTAAAATAGCAAATCAATGTTACGCATATAAATATACTCTACATGTTACGGTTATTTAATCGCATTGATTCAATCTGCAAACTTGAGGTATGCACTACCTCACGTTTGGATTAACAGTTATACTCGGCACGTGTTATTCTAAGTTAAATATAAAAAATTTACAACGAAAGTGCATATAAAGTCACAAGATCGGACTGATTGTATGCATGTGTATAGTATATTCGCGGATAGAAGGAAGAGAATGAACAGAGGTGTCCCAGCCTCGTGGCTCTTCATTAGCTGTTCTGAGTCTTCGCATTGAACGGATTTTCACTCGACTTCATCCACTCTTTGCGCAGTAGCTGCTTCAGTTGGCTGAGTCGAAGACTCGGATTTTGTTCCTTGAGGATCGGCATCATGCGCTCCTCGAAGCTCAAATAGGCGGCCTTCATTCTACGTTCCGGGTGCCGATCGAGCTCTTGATCTTTCGTACTGCAAGGACATTGTTAAGTTTTATATACTCGATTTAAATAAATGTTACGTAGTAGTTAGAGACGTATTTTTGCAACTACAAATGTAAGAGCCTATAACAAACGATTTGTGTAAGAGTAAACGAAAATAACGAAAAAAAAAATTAACAAGCACATTGAAATGTAGTTGATTATTTTTCCTTGACATGATCAGTGTAAATAACCACCTCAAAACAGTCAAAGCCTCGTCGATTCCGTGGGCTGTTTCTCCCTCGAGCACAACGCGATTTAGATTTTCCTCGATAGGCTTCTCCTCTTCCTTCTTCTTTAAGGCGACTTGGTTTCGTTTCTCCGTAACTGCCACGATCTCGGCACGCGTTACTTTGGCGATCGGCTGCTTGCCACCGACCTTTAACGAGCTCATCTCCTTCTCTAACAGAGCTTTGGCTTCCTCTTTTTTCTGCAACTGCTGCTGCCTTTTTCTTTCCGCTTCTTCCTAAAATTGAAAAAAAAAAGCATTACCATTATGAATTTTTTTCTTTTTTTTTATGTAGAGTAAGATTAAGATTACGAAAGTAGGTGCCCTTTTAAAAAGATGCATTACCTGCTTTTGTTTTTTCTTGAGAAGCTGTTTGTCGTCATCCTGCCAAGCTTTGTCCTCAGCTTCCTGGACCTTTCGAGTCTGTTCAGCCTCTTTGGCAGCGGCTTTGCGAGCCCTTGCCACTACTGCCTTGCTGTTTTCGCCCACGAACTTTTTAGGCATCTTGCACGACTATAGGTTTTGAAAATCACATGTGCAGTTAACTGACATGCATAGGAGTATTTTGTGCATGAAAATATGATTAAAAAGCCCTTAACACATTGGCTACGATGTGAATGCAACAAGACTAATGGTGTCACATTGGGATTGTACAAACTTTACTTTGTTAATACTTTTAAAGAAGTTGGTAACCTCTAGTCGTTCTTTATTCATTTAAGAATAATTTTCACAGATAATATTGTTAATTCACGTCAATTTGTATTAAAAGCTAAAAGATGTAAGACAACATGTAAGTTGTCGATGCATTTCTGAATCAAAGTATTGTCATGACGATGGAAGATTTTTAACATCCGTTCTTTACACGTTTAAATAAGGCTTATCTACACCTTAGGAAAGTTCATTCCAAAAACAAAAGTAATAAAACTCATAAATGTTATTGGAATCTATCGATGAAATTTCCGAAAAGCTTGTGTTTAAACTTTCAAGTGAATAGCAACAATTTTTGAAAAAATTATTGTCAAAGTCATGACTTTGTACACCAGCTTTTTTGAAGGGCACAAATTATGTTTTTGTTCGTTTGTTAGCTAACTAATGAACTTTTAAAGGTGAGGTCAAGGGAACGAACCTCCTCAAAAACTGTGTCAGCAAGTTCTCAAAAATTATATAAATAGTGCGTAGATGAATCTTGAGCCCCAACTCTCTGGCCCAACTACCACGTAGATGGTTAGCAACTGTAAAAAAGTAAGAATTCGTGATTCAAACATAGCGCGCCTCGCTCAGCTGATCCCGCCGGCAGCAGACGAAAACAGCTGGGACGCACGCGCATTGCCAGCTGTTTTCGTTTCTCGTTATCTCGTTGTGTATTATTTTTTTCTTTTCTTCGCTTATCGGAACCAAAAAGAGGTTAGATCCACATCCAACAAACAAATCAGAGGGTAAAGTAGCTCTGAAAAATCAGAAAAATCGCGATCGAAGCGGAGAAATGCATGTATAAATAAATGTTAGCCAAGGGTCTCGGAGCAGAGCTACTACGGAGAAGTATGGCGAGCAAAAGCGGAAAGAAGAAAGGCAAAGGAAGCGCAAACACGACGACTCAGCAAGTACCAGTAGTCGCCGGGGTAAGTTTTTTTTTATTGTACTTGCAAGAATCTTCACTTAACTCTTAACGAGAACTTACCGGGCACTCGGATTCCAAGCAGCTCACCACCAAAAAAAGGGACCCCGCACACCTTCCGACCCGTCGCCTCGATCACCTGTCCCGGGCGTACTCTGACATATTTATGTTTATTTTTCGCCTTACCGACTCTTTTTCTTTCGCACTTATCACGCGTTCACGGCTAGAAATCAGTCAACTGTCACCGCATTTATAAATGAAAGTTGTTACTCTGCAGACCACTGGACCATGCATGCACTGTTGCGCTCGGGGAAAAACTCAGAGCATGTCGATTATCCGTCGACGGCTGCAAAATGAAAATTTTGACAGTGCGCGTGCGCGCTTTGTGTTCTCTTTTTTCTGACAGATCGAAATTTGAATCGTCAAACTTTTCAAATTGGTCACTCGTCAAGTTTTCTAATATAATCCAATGTATAGTAATTTTTTCTGTTGTTCGAATGATTTTTTCTGTTATTTAAATAAATATATGTTATCATTGATTCAAAACTGCCTTAAAATAGTCAAGGTTTTTTTTAAAAAATAAAAGTCTCTTGTTTTGTAAGATAAACCTAGAATTATTGTTATTTTTTCTAAGGTTTTCTGAAATATGTCAAGGTTTTTTTTAAAAATTCCTAAAACGTGTGTACTACTACAAAACTTTATAAATTATTTACTAAATAAATTATTCATTGAGTATAAGATCTGGAAAAATTTTTTCGTAAAACGTATGTACATAAATTTCCAACAGCAAAAACAGGAAGGTTTTTCATTTGCAGGGACCAATCGGCACTGACAAGAGTGGCAATGTCACCATCAAAGTTCAGGCTAAGCCAGGAGCAAAACAAAACAATATAACAGGTACTCGTTTTAATGATCCTTTTTTTAACGTACAACGTTTGAAGTTGAAATTGGATTTACAATTTGGAGGTCAAAATGAAAAATCCCCTAACAGATAGCCAATAGATCATGAAAAAAAAAAACTGCATTTATTCCATGAAATTTGGAAGATGGATTTAATTATTTCAAGTCGGAACATTTTTTAAAAGGTACGCGTAAACTAATTTTCCCTAAAAAAGATAAGGAAAGTTAAGGAAAACTTTTTAAAGAAAGGAAAAGGCCAGAACATGACTAACGCGAAACAATAAAAGAATTTCATTTTTCGTGGCTTATAATGCCTATGCATTTTTTTTTAATTTTTCCTGCGGTACTGTATCCAAAAGTCTGAGTCTTGGAGCTTATTTTCTCATAGTTTATAAAAATAAAAATAAATTATAAAATACGAGACGTTTATTTAATATAGCCCAATGATTGATTCTTGGACACTTGGAATAAAATATTACGATAATGATCTAGAATTTTATTAAAATTGCGTTAAAATTTCCATAAAATTGAAGGAAATTGAAAACTTTACTTTCTGTAACTATTATAAATACATGAAATAAAAATCAGAAAGGTGAAAATATTTTGGAAACATTAATTTACCAGTGTAGGTACTTGGCAGAGATGTGAAAACGCGGGAGGAACGAAAGAAAAGATCTTGAAAGTTTTCAACTGCAACGAAAAAAAACAGTTGGACCCGTGTGGGAAGACAAGTACTCGAAACAATATAGGGACTTGAGTAACAAAAGCTGAGAATTCAGGATTAAATAATAATGATTTGCAAAATGAGACTCTATGCAAGTGCATAAAATTTCCCAAAGATACATCCAAATCAGGGGCTGATAAACAAAATCGAAAGAATAACTGATAACAAAGGATATGTTACATGTGTATGATGTACGCACGTTAAGAAAAGTATATTTTTATGTTAACATAAACGTAAATATTGTCAAATGCTTTATTATCAATGGTGTAAAGAGAACTAATTTTTAAGTAAAATCCATGAATAAAAAAAGAATGTAAAAACCAGTACAAGAGTCAAAGGAGCATCATTAAATGAGAAATCTTTTTACAACGGGAGTATTAAAAATCGTTGAAATATTGTCTGTTTTCTTCAAAGACTTCTCGGACGAAGCGGTGGGTGTGGCGATATCTGCACCGCCGCAGGAAGGCGAGGCCAACGCCGAACTTGTCAAATATTTAGCGTCCGTGCTAAGCGTGAGAAAGTCGGACGTGAGCTTAGACCGAGTGAGTACCAGATTATTTTTTTTAATTTTTGGATCCAAATGTGTTTAGAAAACACTTATGATTGACTGATTTTTGTTTCTAAGGGCTCGAGAAGTCGGCACAAAGTGGTACTGGTGTCCGGAAGCAGCGTGGAAAAAGTCACGGAAAAACTGAAGGCTGCCGCAGCTGAAGAATGATGTGAATAACGTGTGGAAGTTACGAGGGAACTTTTTTTACATACGAGCTTTATTATCACAATAAAATAATTAATTGTCTTCGTGTGGTATATCTTATCAACTACATGTCAAAACTTGTATTAATTTTATACTTAGTTCTACATACTTTTATTAAAAAGCTGTTACTTTCTGTATGGCATTGTCGTCCTTTGAAACGACTTATTGTATCATGTATGTACACAATTTCGCAACAAAGATTAATCGTTGAACGTACAAAATTCTCGCTCAACAAAATTTTTTCACTCCATAACTGTAATTTTAATGTACGTATATATATATATACACATGTAATACGTTAACAGTATATCGAGATTTCAGCTGAACTTACTACAACTAGTTTTAGTCAAACGATGTTAGCAAACTGTCATACTCGTTAAATATTCAAACTGCACCAAGTACAACACACGCTTTTAGTGACTTGCTTCGAATTGATGTAGTTTTGTGACAAGAATTCGGTCAGCATGCGACGACACCGCTATGAAGCACAACACGGTGCAAAGCCACGGTTTGGAAGGGCTACATAATTATGCCCATTTAATCGACGCGACATTTACACAGCAAAAATAACGTTCCTAACACCAATTTCACCATATATTTCGGACTGTAATATTGCAACAAGAGCCACGTAGTAATTATTTTACACACGCCCGTGCCTCTTTTCACGAGACGCACCGGCAAATCAGTTCAATGATGTATACCTCGTCGTCACTATAAAAAAAAAAAAAAAAACACTTTCGGCGACTATATGGACCCCAGAGTTGGCGGCATCCTAATCCTCGACGTCGAAAGTCTTGTCCTCGAGCCAGGGTCGGAAAATCGGCAAAGTCGAAGGGTAATGGGCGCCGCGCTTCGAAGGAGCCGTTCCAACGGGGGCGCCTTCCTGTCTCAGGGGATACGTCGCCAGGACTATGGGGATCTGGAGCTTGATCTCCTTGTCCAGGCTCTTGGGCGTTATCACGAACTGTAAACAACGTTACGTGGGCGATGTTTTACCTGCTTTATGAATATTCACCGGTGCCATTTGGCTCATCGGGAGCCAAACCAGGGGAAACAGTGTTCTGCCGGCAAAGGAGAAATCCATTTTTATTTTGGGACAAAAAAATGCATAAATTTAAGGTGCCAAATAAACAACAGGATAAATATTATCATTTGTTTAATAAAGGTGGGCGAGTTCTTCCTTGCCACAGCGAAAACTGTTTCACCAGGTGTGACGAGGGATCGTTCGTTATCTCTCGCTACTGGGGATTGTCCACCCGACTTACGTATACGTGATAGAGGACATTGATGAGGTGGCAGCCCCTCAGATTGGTCGGGGGGAGGGGGGGCACGTAGAGCTGCTCGTTGAGCCACTCCTCGCCCTCGCCGGGTCGGATTTTGCCCCTGGAGACGCTGGCCAGCTCGCGCGTCTCGCTGGCCAGGACCTTGCCGCGGCACAGGTACTGGATGGTCTCGGTGAGCGAGGCCTTGGTCGACTTCATGGTCACCTTGCTGCGGTTGCTCACGGTCGCCGATATCCCGATGCTCTCGCCGGGCACGTAGCCGCCCCTGTCCAGGCTCACTCGGCAGAAGACTGGGCCCCCCGAGACGCACGACACACCCACGTGCTGCTCGACCTCCAGTCTGGCTGGTTGCTGAGGAAAGTTTGTTCAAAATCATTGGTTTTTCCAATTAATGGAAAGAGATTGGACTTGGGGCCACAAGTTATAGGGATGTGCTTTTGGAAAAACAGAGAGAAAAAAATTATATTTTTCTGTAAAATACATGTCATAATTCCCAGGGTACTAAAAAAACGTGCTCTTTTCGAATGGACTGCTCCCTTTCATTTATTTATTTTACGCAAATAAAAGTGTGTCTCGTAACAGGCGACATTTCGGGAGTCGCTGTCTCGGCCAATATTTTGTGAGAATCCTAGATTATTGGAAAGAACTGCTCTTGCGATCTAAAAAATCTTTGTACCATCAAATTGCCATCATGATATTGTACTGAATTTTTGGAATTTCGCCCGTAGGCTGCATGTATCTGTATGATTTAGACAAAGAGTCCTTGCATCTTTTACATTTACAGTTACCACTACAAAATTTGAGGTGAATAAATTCCTCCAACTTTGCTACTTATTCATTCTTAACTAGAGTTAGCTGCTTCTTTTGCCGAGCTATGGATAAATTTGATTCGAGCCAAATTAAGATTGATGGTAATCTTTGAATGCCAATGTACATCTCCAAAATGGTCAACAAGATAAAAACACACAAGAGTTTCGTGAGTGACGGACATTTTTCGACTCCGTCTGGAGAAAGCAATCGTCGAACTCTTCCGCGAACTGCGTAAGATGAGCTATTTTTAACGCGCCTTCGAAAGTTGCATAATCGGCGACCATAATTGATGAAATAGTGCGAATGATGAAACGCGTGGGCGGCCCTGATGACATCGGATTTCCAGAACCAATACGTGAACTACTCGCATACCCGTCACCCATACATATATTATACGCTTACACGCGTGTGGATGAAATGGCACTTTTCTTACACAATAAATGCACAGAGACGACCCGCGTGGAAATAATCCTCACGGGCAACATATATGGCTTCGTTATAACGATATATAGGTAGAAATATGCAAAAATAAAAATACCCCGTTTCATCATGCTAGTGATGAATAAAATTTGTATAAAAATTGCTCAACTGTATCCAAAACATATTATGTTGCAATTATTGGTAATACATGGAATGGTAGTATATTTAGCAAACGGCAGTGCGACATTTCGGCAAAATAGGTAGTTTTCCTCAAACGTTGACACCCAAGTCTAACGTTTCCAAAACTATGTCACCAATGGGTATTATTTTTCAAGATTATCAGTATCCTAACTATAGGTAGCCATCCAGACCATCTATCTGTACGCACATCCAACCTCGTAAGAAGCAAGTAACCCCCCTGTAGTCTTACCGCTAAAATCGGTGGCTCGAGGTTCAGATCTATGGGATTCATGACTATGAAGACCTGCTGGTTCTTGTGCACGAGGCCACCGGGCTCCCTGAGCGCGGCCTTGCAGTAGTACTGCACCCAGCCGTGTTTCCCGAGGAAGGTCGAGGGTAGGCCCAGAGGTAGTCCAAGCTTGAAGGGGAAACTGTGGATGCCCGGCGACAGCAGCGACGGTCCGTCACCTTGGAAAATCGGCATACCGATGTAGCGTTATAATATGTTCAAAACAACAAGGTGGTGGTAAACGAAACGAAAGGGGGGGGGGGGGGAAGAAAAAAAAAAAAAGGGGAAAATAAAATAGTTGCTCACCAGGCTCGCCGAGCAACCGCATCCGAAAGTCGATGTAGTTCTCTTTGTCGTAGACCCGCTCGGCCCTCTGGCTCCGCACCCGCACAACTCCCTCGCCTATCACGTGGAAGTGGAGGCCGGACACGCTAATTTTTTTTTTTTTTTTTTTTCGACAAAAAATGACAAATTGATTATTGATCATTCATTGGGAGCACCTGAAACTATCTTACATGTTTTCAATATAAAAAGTAGTCCTACGAGGTGATGTACTCTCATATACGTATAGTGATTGAATATCATCAGATATTTCCAGTCGTGCACCTACGCGGGAATTTGTATAAGCATCTATTCATACAAACGCACATTAGTTCAAGAACAAAAAAAAAAAAAAACAAAAAAAAAAAATTGGAATTAAAGCCATATAGGCTCTCATTTGCATGATCGCATGCATGTTATACACGTATATATACCTGTGGATGAACGGAGAGGCGATGGGGGACACCGTTACGACACATTCGCATGTAATATGTAATAGTGAACCTGTCGCGCACCCGCGCATGCATATTATAAATTATATTTAATCGGGGGGGGGGAGGGGGGGAAGTTAAACTGAAAAATATAGTATGTTTTCTAAAATAAATAACAGCACCTTAATCACGTACAACAATTATTGTACGGGAGTAGGTATGTATATACATATGTGTGAGATGTAGCATAGGTGCCCTTATCCATGTATATATAGCCTTGGGGTCCGTTTTGCGTGAGCGTATGTATACATGTATGTACGAGCATGTAGGTACGGAGAAACCGAGCGGCGTATACACTTACGGTATATAACGCTTCTTTTCCTGCATCACGGTTGGCCGGCTGCAGGAGAGCGGTCCTTTCGCACGCCGCTCGGGAGAATCCGAGGAACGCCATGGCCGAGCCCCACTATTATATATGGGATGGATAGCGTGTTTGGTGGTGGTTGTTGTTATTGTCATTTTTTCGCTGTCGCGTTATGAGTACATTTGTCAGAGTCGGAGATGGGGAGATAACGCGCGATGTTGTTATCCGATCAGCTGGAGGGTTTCATCGGCTGGGGGTGCTGTGTAGCTTTTGTGGATGCGTTGCATCATGGAAATTAAAAGAGGGATTATTTTGGCCGAGCTGTGATTTTTCGAGACTTGTTTGTTGTATCGTTATTTGTCAAATTTTTTAAAAGTATAGAAAGATGAAAAGTCACTTTTCATCGTGTTGCAATGTATCGTTTTCAGCTCTTCGCCCATTTTTTGGTTTTCATTGAATATATTATTTGTGGGAGAAAACATCCGACATAGTCCATTGGGTTCTTCAGGTTGGTTATCGAAAAATATGACCCGAATGACCTGTCTTTTTTCACATAAAAATTGACGAAGAGGTAGCCTGGCCTGTTCAAATTCTTCGATTAATGAAACGACGTAATTCAAAACTTTATTGAGCTCCATGCTTATTCATCAGTAATTGTTTATGTGAAAAAAAGAGAAATTAGTGTGTCTTATATTTTTTTGATCATCAACCTGACTAACTTGATGGATCACTGAATCGAAAATTGTTTTTGTAATCCTTCCCTGTTGCGTGTAAAAAAATTATGTAATGGGACGAGAGTTTTTTAAATTATATGTTAAATGGTTTGAGTTTGGTGATTGCACTAATTATAAATAAATCGTCTGTTAAGACTTGGATTGTTTACGAACACCGACAGCTACCAAAACGGAACGCATTGGAGTCTTACAGCTTCGTTCGATAGGAACAACTAAATGCTTGTGTTTAAAATGAAAATAGATTCAACGCGCGCGACAAATTTCACTAAAGACTATTAGAACATTGATTCCTAATCGCACCTTTGCAATGATCAATATAAAAACGTTTTCACGGTGTCGGATAATAAATGCACCAGCGAATCACTCGATCCGCGATCGACTCGAGTCTACATCACACGAAACTTTCGGCGTATGCGTGAAGGTGCCCCAACAAAAAACACCGCAAAACCTCTTCAACGCGCGTCTCGGCTTTCGGATATCTCCGAGTGTAGCCCCATCATATACGAGCGACTGGCGAAAAACAAAGCACCTGAAATTGATTCTTTTCCCGCGAGTATAATCGCAGAGAAAGCCACGCACCTGTTTCTTTTTTTTTTTTTTTTTTTTTTCAACCGAACCACCGTTTACCCGTGATAATTCATTCGTAGAAAAACATAATGGGCATCGCGATCGGCAACTCAGCCTCTCCGTGCATCACTTGGGTATATTACAAAACCATACCTACGCCCGTGCACACCCACACACCGTGTGTTTACACACGCAGAGCCAACTCCTCGGGCGCACGGTACTTTTTCTCATCCAATCATAACTCAAGGTTTAGAGGAAAACAAAGCAAAAACTTACAGGGCCTCGTCGTCGAGTTCGATAAGTACGCGGCCGGACAAAAAGTGGCCAGGGAAGTACAGGAGGTTCGTGTTCTCGAACAGGATGAGGAACTTGCTCAGTTTGCGCGTCATCCTGCCGCCGTAGGTTATAAAATAAATGTACAAGGCTGCGCCGCTCCTCGCTTTGGCCCCTTATGTGTCTCCTTCTCTGGTGTGCGCGACCCGATCGCCGTCCTTCGGCACCGATACCTCGTCCTGCGTTTCGTAACGGTGGTCCACTCGATCGCCCAGCTACGGGCTCGCTAACCAGGCCGTCCGACACTTTTCCGGAGCCGATTTTCCCATTATGAGCAACACACTGTGGGTTTACTGCGGAATAAATCCCCAGTGGGGATCGGCACGTATCCACACACGGGCGCTCGGCGATCTCCTCGGCACTGGTGCTGCCGCGGTGGCTCCTCCGCGCCTATACCTGGCGCGTGCATCCACTACTCCGCCGTATCTTTTTTTTTTTTTTGTTTCCTTACCGAGCGCGTATGAGTACTTGTATATACATGGGTAGTGCAGCTCGCGGATACCAACGCTATCCGATCCGTCTGTCGTCCCCTCCTCCACCTCCAAACTCGTATACGACTATACATATATATATATATATACCTACGCCGCTCATTCTTGGCATTGAGCTCACTTTCGCTTCTATTTTACATTCCAGGTGTACACTGTGTATATAAGTATGTAGCGATGGAGCGTTGCGTGGAGAGGATCAAAGCATGATGCGTGTATCGTGCGTTATATAGTGACTGGTCCGTGACCGTATTGTTACTTAGGCCTTAGACCAACTGAGGTTTTATCATGTATGGGATGACGAAGCGCGGACCACATGGGGTTTTTTTAAAATAAAAGGTCTTTCAAGGGCTGTATTTCTCGCATCTCTCTTCAATTTTCTTTTTTTACGAATGACAGTGGTCTGTTGGAAAACGTACACTCGAACACGCACTGAGTCGTCGTTGGGTTTGCAAACTTTTCCAAAATAATGGATGTTTCGGGTTTGTTCATAGATTTCCAGGGTTATTGGTGTAATGATGGATTGGTGCAACTGTTAGTTTTCACCCAGAAAATATGTGGACATTGCTGGCTTTTTTAATGTATCAAGTAGTGCAAGTAAAACGACACAACATTAAATAACATTTCGGTGGGTGCAAGGAAGAGCTGTATCGAATGGAAATGTAAAAAGCAGTTATTACGAACTGCAATTTTAAGCAAAAAGTAGTAAATTTAAAGAGTATTTTTTTTCTACTTTTCTTTTTGGGTGATTTTTTTTGTGAGCACAATGAATTTTAAGATATCATCTTAGTATTTTTGCTTTTAGGGTTTTATTCGGTTGTCACAATGTAATTTGAGAAAAATCAAGGCTAATCGTAGAGTAACTGCTCATCACTTTGATATAATTTGTGTTTTTATCATTTATTTTTTTGTTCTAATTGATGATTGTCATCGCATATAAAATTGTAATAAAAATAGATATATATTCACACCAACGAGTTAATGCGTACCCTTGACACATTTGTTTTTATTTGTATAAAAGATTTTTCATCTATTTTTATTAAAATATTTTTGATACTGTTAATGTTTTGTTTAGATTTTTCACTTAAAAAAACAGTTTTACGATTTTTGGGAGGAAAAATACAATGTGTTTGTACTAATTATATTTTCATAAGACATGAAAACTTCTCGTTTTCTATTTTTGAATTGTAAAATACATTTTAATAAAATGAATATAATTTTCAAACATTACTTTTACATTTAAAAAAATTTTCTTTTCAAAAACTAGTATATTCCGGATAACAATACATATATACCCTAAACCCTTTACAGACATTCTTAAACAATTAATTACTTTTTTTTTTAATTTAAATTTAAAACTCTATTAGCAACTTTTTTACAAAATTAAGATTTTAAGTAATAATTCTACTTAATTTACGATAGTTGAAGATGTATGCAATAACGTATAAGAAAATTCATCCATATCAAAAGTATAGTAAAATTATGAAAAGTTTTCGTGCTTGTCTATATTATGGTAGCCTTAATTTCAAGTAAGGAATTTGGATAATTCTGACAAAATTTTTACGTAAAACATATTCAGACAAATAATACATTGTACAACGCACAGAAAAAGTCTACGGGATCAGCTAGTATTTTAAAAATTTTACAGGACGCGGATAATTTCAAAAATAACGAAATATGTTAACACCTAAATTATTTCTGAACCATCGCTAATTTTTCAAGACAGAATAAACAGAGTTCCGTTAGCATTTGTATTATTTGACGTAATAACAGTATTCAAAACTAAAGTTAAATTCTATTTGATATAAATGAGTTTACATTTTTTTTTTTCTTTAGTTACACAAAGTATTCTGTTCTCATATTTAACTCAATACCTTTGCAATAACAATCATTAATCATACCAAAGTTTACGAATCCTAAAAATAATGTATTCAAAAATCAATATAAACTACTAAAATTGTGACAATATTGGTTATAAATATGTTTAGAAAATACGATGTAATAGTAAATTGGTAGGTCCAGGAAGAAAAATAATGAATAATACTTGTCAAGAGATGGTCCAAAGATTAAATATATTGAAAAAGTGACTTCCTTACATTAAAAAAAAACCAGGCATGGGTCTCGGGACCCCCCGGCAGAAGTGAAACTCCCAACTCAAATGTTATTAAACTCTGTGTAACAGAAACTGAGAAAATTAGATTACACCTAATTTTAATAGGTCTTTAAGAATCCGGTATTAAAATAGTAAAAATTTTATTATTATTACGTATTCGAGCACGCGTGTGCATAAAATACATATGTACTTATTCATACTACTTATGTTACACGTGATTCGCGCATTCTAAGTACTTCCACGGTTGCTATAATATAATTATGTATTAATACATGTACGAATTGTTGGTCATAAAATGCAGAACGAAACAAAAACTTTCACCATACCACCATACTACTGGAAAAAAAGTACTTTTGTCAAGTTACGTAGGACAAAAATTCCTTTTATTTAAAATTACTATTCATGCATTTGATATGATATAATACATATACACAATTCTTGTTGGAATCGCTGTATACGACAAATAAAATTTTTTTTTAATTTTGGCTACCGTAAAAGTAAAATAAATAATTCACTCTATCTGATTACGATTAAAGAAAACAATAGACATACAGCTATTTTCCATTGTATAAAGTCGTAATTTGTTATGCAGTTAGGTTTCTATGATTTTTTATAAATTATTATTAAAATTTATCCGTGCTTATAACTAATTTTTACTAATCTCAACATTAATAATAAGAATATAGGTTTTGATCACATGACAGTTTTTCTTAGAATACATATAATTGAGAATAGAAAATAAATCAATTTATAGGTAGGATATGAAGGATGTAGCTTTACCTTTGAGATATGACTTATATTATTTTTAGAATTACAACTATTGTTTGTATGAATCCGTGTAACATATATTTTTGCACCTCGATAATTATTTTTTATGCGTGAAATTATTTTTGGCCTATCTGGCTTCCTTTTCTAGATATGACTGTTTTTCAAATTTTGGAAGGTTATATTGTGTCAAAAATTTTTTGAAGATTTTGTGAATGCCCATATTAATTTTTCAAACACGGCATAGAAAAGAAAACATTTTTTTACTCGTTCATTTTAAGAACAGTCGAAAAAGGAAATAATTGAGGTTATGTTTGTGCATAGTCCAACCCCTCTATATTCGTGTACCTCAATCATGTAGTTCCCCATTAGGAAATCCGTAAAAATTGTTATTTTTAGCCAATTTTGCTTTCCTTTAGAGATGCAGCGTTTTTTCTTGTTATTAAAGGTTAAGTTGTATTATATACACACCACATACCTAAAATATATTTGTATATATAGGTATATTAGCAGCGTGAGGGGAAGGGAGCGAGCGGCGTACATTTGAGAGAGTAGAGTAGAGTAGAGTAGTTTTATTAGGCTAAGGACCAACTGTCCAAAGTAGCCTTGCAATGTATACTTACATAGCTGTTTCAGACAGCTTACAGAGGTTTAATAAGGAGAGAGAGAGAGATGGAGCGGGAGGGAGTGTGTAAGAGAGAATATAAGAAGTTTCACTTTAAAAAAAACATAAAATTCTGTACTTAGATATAAAACTAAGAAAACTAAATACTGTACAAAATTTTTGGCAAAGTACTTAATATTCATATCACAGTGTATTTGGCCAAGCCTTATGCTTAACCATGACACATTGGTTATTAAAGTGTTTCCAGTCACGACAAATAAGGTAAACGACACATTTGAACAATGATTTGTTATAAAACATAGTTTTGCTTCAGCGGCTGTACTACAAACAGGTACTTATTATTTCAAACCCAAGTATTGGAATAAAAATACACATAAAATTAGGAGAAAATACTAAAAATACCTATGAAAGAGAAAAAAATCTAATCTATCCTTAGTCGTACTCCTTGCATAGTGCAAATAATAAAATAACATCAATTACCTCCATTCGGTAGTGTTTTTGCTGAGTAAGTAAATCTCTCAGGAAATTAACAACGAGCAGGAAGAGGCCATCCGTAATAATATACGTAATACGCAAAAGTGGCAAATAACATTATGGTAACTATCAACAGTTTGGTAGAAATGCTATGTAAATAAAAGATTATATATTTATAAGTCTCTGCCTTGGAGACTTATTAAAAGGAGCGGGTTGGAGTAAGGTGAAATAACCAACACGTGCTGTTGCAGTGAAAAACTGTAATACACGAATACTTAATATCTAAAAATACACAAACTATATACAACCAATATCACTACCGTATATCATTTACCTGAATCCACACAAATGTTGGTAATCACAGATATTTAGAAATAATATACGCTTACAGTATAAAAGCGAGTGCGACTATGACGCAGCATAGCTTATCAGCAACTAGCTCTACTCGAGGCACGTCGCTCGAAGCGAGTACCCGCTTAGCCGGCTACAGACGTCATGTAGGCGGCTAAGTTTGAAAGTCGTCAAACTTACATCCCCTTTCGCAAGACAGAGGCGCAGGGGTGGTTACGGAAAAAAAAGAATAAGGAAATAGCTTACTAGCATGGAAAATATTGGATTCTTTCTTTTTAAATCCACTGTCAATGACGAATATCACGTCTGATATTTTTTTTTTATTTTGTACGGCCCGATTCTAATTGGGTCTAATTTGTCTCTATTTAGTTTATTACTATTTTGTATGTACACTAAATCGCCTTCATTATATTTTATTGCAACTGAATTTTTATCATAATATTTTTTATTTTGTTCATGGATTTTTTTCGAATTTTCATATGCTATTATTCTATTCTTATCTAGGTTGTTTTTATTATTTTGATTTAATTCTTT